AAAATTGTTCACCGGTTGTTCTTAAACAGACTTTGAAGATGGAGGCCAGGGTATGAATGTTGGTACCGCCTGAACGATCTTTTTCCTCTCACCATTTCTCACTTTCGGAGTTAGTGGGTCTGACACAAAACGATTTTAACATGTTCTCTTTCTAGCTGAATATGTCAAAAGGGTTCTTCAGTTATTCTTACGACAAATGGATAAATGCCTTATTTGAAAACCCGGAAGAAAGAAACTGACTTAGTTTTGTGGTTTTTAGATATTAAACATTTTGAGGGATGATCCCATACTGTTATACGATTTGAAAAATTTTTGTTGTTACACCCGGTATATATATATATATATATATATATATATATATATATATATATATGATGAGGTGTGTTTAGAAAATTCTTTTGTTGAGAACTTTTTATTTTCGATAGGCATGAATATAGAAGGGAAAAAATACATCCGGCTTCCTATCAATAGCCGCAAGTTATAGAAAAGATCACAAAGAATTTCTTTTATTAGTCAAGGCTACATTCACAAGTGAAACATTCATCGCCACTTGACCTTTTTATGAATATTCGTACGTTTATATATGGTTTGTATAGAGAGTGTTTTTATGGAAGTTTTCGTTTTATTTATACGTTCTGCACGCTTGATGGGGAACAGAGAAAAAGCCTGTCTATATTTAATGGAATGCTGGAAAAAATGCAGTGAATTATATATCAATATCGTATTTATATATATATATATATATATATATATATATATATATATATATATATATATATATATATATAATAAAAAGGCTTTAATATTAACATTAATATTAGTGTTTAAGCCTTTTTATTATATCCTTACTCTATCCTGGACATTGAGTTCTACCTGGATTCTATACTCTTGGAATTTTCTATTCCAAAAATATACATATATGTGTATGCACCAATGTATATATATTTATATATTTTACATATGTATGTGTATATTTACTAATACTAATATATATATATATATATATATATATATATATATATATATATATATATATATATATAAGTGATAGAAATTATGAGGATTTGAGATAATTATAATTAAGTAATTCATCGGAGTCTAGAAGAAACCTCAGCAGAATGCAGAAAGCATAGTGCTTTGTGCATTCTCTTGAGGTTTCTCCTAGACTCGATGAATTACTTATTATACATATATATATAGATACATATATATGCATACACACATATATATATACATATATATATATACACATATATACATACATATATATGTATATAAATAAAAAGAAAGAACATGGTTGGAACTGTGTAGCGAAAATAACCATATTTTAAATCAATTAATTTATAATACATACATATATATATATATATATATATATATATATATATATATATATATATATATATATATATATATATATATATATATATATATACTGGTAAGTGTGTGTGTTTGTCTGTGTGTGTGAGTGCATGTAAGTAAAAAAATATTTATACTTAAATAAATAAATTTTATTGATTTGTTCAACGGAGGAGTCATACTTGCATATATCCTCTGTTAAATGCAAACAATATAGACATGTAAGATTGTCTGTTCGCGCCATCTTTTTTCTGATTGCTGCAGAATATAATATACCTTATATAAAAATATATAGGTGATATTTGCAAGTACATATATATATATATATATATATATACATATATATATATATGTGTGTGTGTGTGTGTGCTTGTGTGTGCTGTATTATGTATATGTATCGTGTGTCTGGCTGCCTGAACAGACAGCAGTTAACCGACAGGTGCAGACAGTTGATTGACTCCACTTAAGTTTTGGCTGAAATCGTTTCAGTAAATGAGTATCGAATCAATATCAATGGTTAAGCATATGTGACTTTGAAAATTTCCAATTATTCTAAATGGCTGAACAATTTGGCTGTCAGAATTCTTTAGGAAAAGATGTAAAGACAACGGCCGAAGCTGTATTTAAAAAGGAAGGTACGTAAAGAAAGAAAAAGACAGAATTTGGACAGAAACACTCGGGATAAATTTTCTTCAGGTGGACTGAAGAAGAAGCGATTGGATTGCAGTTTCTTCACAGGAAGAATACCAGAAAAAAAAAATCAAAGACAAGGGAAGAATTGAAGAGCAATGATTGAAGGAGATTGATATAAAATAGATAAATAAAAGAAAGCGAGAAAGAATATTGGACAAGTGGGCATTAGAATAAGGAGGAGAATGGATGACAGGAAAAGAAGGATAGAAAGAAAGAAGGAAAAACTGAAGTACGAAATAGAAAAAAAAAAAGAAAAATAAGGTATAATGAACGAGTAATGGGAAAGAAAAAAAAACAAATTTGAAGGTTAAGGGATAAAGACAAAAGAAAGCAAGAATCATTAACAAAATTATGTCTGTGATAGACCGGGAAAAAACCAAGAACTTTCGAAGCGAAAATTCTTTCTGACATAAAAGAAAAATTTATGACAATAGATTGAACCAAAAATCGTAAATGACTGAACCAATAGTAAAAGATATTAAGGTTAACAAGTTTCTGACGCGTGCCTGTGTGTGGGTGGGGGTGCAATGGAAGGAAGAGAAAGCGAAAGTTGGAATAAGTATCTATCGAAGAACGTCTCTGGGAGAAGGATAATCATTGAGCAATTTAAAGACTCGATAAAGAAGCAAAAGCGACAAACGATTACAAAACACACCTGGGCGTTTGGTGTGTCTAGGTTTAGCAGAGTGAAAAAAATACTGTTGAAGAAAATGTTTTCGCCTGCGCTGAGATGTTTTACGAGAGTCGATGGCCAGAGGAAAAATAAGACAGGCTGATGCACACTAATTACAATGGAATGATATTAGAGTCAAAGTCAGCAGAAATGGACGCAGATGCGACACATTCGAAGGCCTGCTTGCTTCCGAATTCGACACAGATCAACCGATTGTCTAACTGAATCGACTGTGACAATAGACTGAGGAACAGAAAAAATATGTCGAAACGCCAATATAACAGAAACAAAAATAGAACTGAAATTCTATTGTTGTTAACCAATTTCGAAGTGGCTACTGTGATTCTTAAACCGTAAATTTGGCAGTGAAATCTTTCTTTCGTCATGTCGCAATCTAAGATCAAATTCAGTGACTGTGAATACATACTCACATAAATATATTTATATTTAATTTCCACACCTGGCTATACACACTCACATTAATATATTTATATTTAATTCAGCTCCTGGGAACACACATGCACATAAATATATTTATATATTTAATTCAGCGCCTGGCAAAATACACTCGCATGGATATATTTATATTTAATTCAACGCCTGGAAATACACACTCAGATATATATATATATATATATATATATATATATATATATATATATATATATATATATATATATATATATATATATATATATATATATAATTCAGCGCCTGGGAATACACACTAACATAAATATATGTGTATTTAATTCAGCGCCTGGGAATACACACTAACATAAATATATTTATATTTAATTCAACGCCTGGAAATGCACACTAACATAAATATATTTGTATTTAATTCAGCGCCTGGGAATACATACTAACATAAATATATTTGTATTTAATTCAACGCCTGGCAATACACAAGCACATAAATATATTTGTATTTAATTCAACAGCTGGGAATACACAGCAACATAAATATATTTATATTTATTTCATCGCCTAGCAATACACACACAGATAAATATATTCATATTCAATTCAGCACCTGGGAATACACACTAACATAAATATATTTTATCACCATAAACGTTATTTTTGTGGATAGTCGTATTTGAGTAGAAGGTACTCCATTTATTAAACAATTTATGTATTTATTTTTCTATACCGGTCAGAATATTCGGGAAATCTTATTCAAGATAAATATGCAACCACCTGCGCCAGAATTCAACCCTGCGTCCTTCTAGACAGTAAAACCGTTTTTAGAAATGAGTTGCTTATATCGACTCAATAACGAAGGATATTTGTCGATCAAGCAATGCCGACTACTGCCTTTAAGCGAAACTCCTCTCGTCAAAGTGAGATGTCAAATTCTCGCAGCTTTTTTTTCTTCGCTATACTTCCCAGACATTCCAATTGCCTCTTTCTGATTTTTAGAAGAACTGTTGGTTTTGAATCTTCTTTCTCTAAAACCTCTTCGTTGTTCCGTTCATGGTATTCTCAGCATGTTTCTGTCTAACGACATCTCTTTTACATCAAGTCTTGTCTTCAGTTCTAAGGAAATTTTCCAGCATTCACTGACATATAGGAGGATTTATATTATTTCCGTACTCTTTTCTTTGTTTCCAAAGAAATTTTCTTATTTCTTAACAATTTGTTTACCGTTTGCAAGGCATTTTTCGCTACCTCAATATGTCTTCGGATTTCGGTACCACACTTTTTGTCTTCCTTTCAAGCATTTCCTAAATTGTTAATTTTCTGTGTTACATTGCTTTTAACATCTCCAATTTATATCTCGCACCTTTCTGTTCCTCTTGCTGACGACCTTATCTTCTTGCATCTTAGAATTAATAGTTAGTCCTTTCTTCTCTCTTTCTTTATTTTTAATCTGTATTATTATACACGATTCTTTATTCGTCTTCTTTGTCCCTTTCTAGTCTTCTATACAAGATGAAAAACGGCTAATAATTCACTCTTTATATTTTCATTTTTCTATCACGTCACCTTTCATTCAATTCTTCAAACTCAGTTTTTTTTTTGTTTTTTTTTTCAAGAAAATCCAATCCTTTTTATTTTCCTAAGAATTCTGCACTATGGAATTTCTACATGACATACTTCACATTGCTTTCTTTTATTCTGCTTCAATTCCAAAATCATCGCTTTATCTTATTGATTTGTTGTATCGATTGAAATTCCCGCTCGGAAAAAAATAATTGTATTTCTTTTTTTGCTTCCCATTCTTTTCTTCCGAAATCCGTAAACTATATTGCATCCGTGTCGACATATGGTTTATACCCATGGATATGACGAGCAAGAGGATTATCATTAAAAACCACAATCTCTATACATCCAGATAAAATGGTTGACTTCTATGAAGAGCCTCATGTGGTTTATCTGGAATTTGATGGAAAGCGTAAAGTTGATAAGCTCCCACTTCTGTCTATGAATTTTGCAGCTACAAGACTTCAAAAATATTTTCGAAAAAAAAAATAATCTCAGGTCTGAAGACTTAAAATCGCTCAGAAATGAAAGCACGGATACGAATAATGAGTTTCTTCAGATTTTATCTTTGGAATATTTTTAATTCCGATTTATTCCATGTTTATTTTATTTCATTCAACCCCAGATTTATTTACGCATAGAACTGTGTTGTGAAGGTATAGCTGGCAGAATATTATGTATATATATATATATATATATATATATATATACACACACACACACACACACACATATATATATATATATATATATATATATATATATATATATATATATATATATATATATTTAAGCATTACGCCCCTGAGCAAGGCGTGAAGCTACTAGGATGCAGGGGGTTTGCAGAAGATTTGAGCGAGAGCAGATAGGATTGATAGAAGAAAGGATGAAGAGAAGGATAGTGGATAGATCAAGGTAACTGGAGATGTCGATTGACATTACATTTGAATAGTTGGAGATTATAGCTCTCAGAGAAACAGTAATTGGGAAGGGTGTTCCACAGGCGAGACGTGCGAGGTATGAAGCTATTGGAGTAGAACAGACGTTTACATTTGTAAGTTTCTACAGTGTAAGTGTGAGAGCGGGATGCCAGCCTCGTAGGGCGCTTGAATTCATGGAGTCTGGGAACCAGTGAAAGCAGCTCAGCGGAGCAATTATCATGAAAGTATTTGTAAAAAAGACAGAGAGAGGCGACGGCGCGTCTGTGAGAGAGTGACTGTAGACGAGATGCCAGATCAGGGCCAATTATATTACATATCCGTCTCTGGATCTTGTCAAGAACTCCGAGGTAACCAGAAGGTGCCCCAGACCATATATGGCAGCAATACTCCATGCAAGGGCGAATGGTTGATTTGTATATTTGAAGTATCGATTCCGGGGAGAAGAATTTCCTGGCGCGGCACAGAGAGCCAACTTTCCTCGCGGTGGACGATGCAATTGTCTCAATGTATTTGTTCCATCTCAGGTCAGCAGTCAAACGTGAAACCGAACAGACGCAGAGAGTTGCTCTCAAGAAGTTGACTATCAGACATTCTAATGGTGGGGCAGGGAAGGATCTCTATGGTGATTAATAGAGAGTAGTTTACTTTTCGAGGCGTTAAAGTTGACCGGCCAGTTCTTGCCCCAGTTAACAACCGATTGGAGGTCCATTTCAAGACGAGCGGCCAGGTTAGTTTTGTCACCGATATATATATATATATATATATATATATATATATATATATATATATATATATATATATATATATATATATATCAGAACAATGTTAGGCAACTGAATGACAAAAAATAAAGAAAATGAATTAAATCGCCTTGGCTACATCCCCAGACATGTATTTGAAAAATTAAAATTCCAGCGTTCCATCATCTTTAGTGTTTTCCATTGGTGCTTAGTTATATATCGTATTTGACGGCTTATAAGGCGCCCTTTTTATTACTAAAAATATATTTTAAAATTCCCCTGCGTCTTATATGCCAAATGTACTTTTACTAATTTTTTTCTTGATTTTCCCTGCTGAAATTGGAGTGCGTCTAATACACCCATGCGTCTTATACAGCCGTACGTCTTATATGCTATCAAATACGGTAATTCCGTTAACTAAAATATTACTTTAGTTAGCTGACGGCCTTCTAAATTTACACATAATTTTTCTATTGTGTCAATCATTTGGCGAAGAGGTATGCTGATAACTAAGTTACAATTTTTTTAGATGATACAATATCGGACTTTAATTGCATAAAGATCGTCTATGTCTTTCCTTAATATATATAGATGACTTTTTATTCTATCAATGACACGTACCGTAACGTCTGATCAATGACAATTATTTTTTCTTTATTTTCATTATAAAATATACATTATTTACATTATTCGGACTGTTTATCATCATCTTCATTACCATATTGAGAACGTTTCGGCCGTTGTACGGTGATTGGAATTTCAAACTTGTACCTTTACTTCGTCCACCGGGAGATAGATTTTTCCAGTTCCACGTGCCATGCCTCTTCCGGGTGTTTCAGTTATTCTCCTTCGACTCAACTCTCTAAGTTTTTTTGGTTCTCCACAGTGACTAGACCCAAAGTGTTGTATGTTCAATACCAGGCTACAGCTGTGGCGAACCGAAAGTCTTGGCGAGATGAGTTAAAGAGAAATAACTGAGACACTCGGAAGAGGCCTGACACGTGGAACTAGAACAACCTACCCCGAAATAAAGGGTTCGATCGAAATTTCGATCATCTGAAGAAGGGCGGAGCGTACAACGACCGAAACTTTGTGAATATGGTAAAAAAGATGAGGATAACAGTCCGAATAATGTAAATAATCATAATACCTTATCTCAGAGACAGAGATAGGTAAAATATACGATAGGTGAAACTTGTTAAAAGTTCAGGTGAATGAAAGTTATAATATTCAGTGTTGAATTTCCTAACATCAGAAATATTTATCAAAAGCAGAAAAGGAGGAAAGTTAAGCAAAGAAGAAAATGTAAAGTCAGTGGTCAGCGATTAGATTTTATAAAGCGCCAGAATTATTGAGGTCCGAGAAAGAATCAAGATTATTTCGGTCAATTCTCGAAGATATTGGTAGAAAATGCTGGGGATTTGTGGAGAGAGATTCTCACGAAACTTTCAACATTAAAAAGAGAAGAACAGGACGAAAAAAGAAAAGAATAAAAAATGTTAGAAAAAGGAGAAAAGATGAGGGCGAAGAAATAAGAGACGAAGAGAAGAAAAAGGAAGGAAAGAGAGAAAAGAAGAAAAAAAAAAGAAAGAACGACGATAAAAACAGAAGACAAATTAAAAAGAAAAGAAGAAGAAGAAAAAAAGAGAGAAAAGATATGAAGAAAACCGGGAAAAAATAGTATGATGAAAATAAGGAGAGGAAGAAGAAAAAATAGAAAGATAAAAAAAAAGTGAAAAGAAGAAAAAAGGAAAAAGAGAAAAAAGGCAAAGAAGAAAGAAAATAAAAAAAAAGAAAACGAGGAGGAAGAATTTAAGAAAAGAAGAAAATGAAATGAAGAAGAAAGGAAAGAAGAAGAAAAGGCTAAAGAAGAAGAGAAATAAGAAAATGAAAAAGAAGAAAAACGAAAGGAAAAAAGAAGAAAGTGGAAGAGGAAAATAAGAAAAAGAAGAAAAATGAAAAGAAGAATAAAAAGTTAATATAAAAATTAAAACAAAAAAATACGATGAAGTAAAGAAAAAGAAGAAGAGGGAAATAAAATTGAAGAAAAATTGAAAAAGAAAAAGAAAAAAAGAGGAAAAAACGGAATGAAGAGCAAAAGTAACAATAACAGAATCCTGGACATGAAGACATAACGGAATCGATTTAAGAATTGCCTTCCATCTGATAAACCTTTGGTTCGGCGTAAAGCAGACGGGGAAAATAAAAAGTAAAATACATTGATAGATTACAGTATTTACATTAGTCGGACTATTGTCCTCATCTTTGTCGCCATATTTGTCACAACGTTTCGGCCGTTGTACGCTCCGGCCTTCTTCAGGTGGTTGGAATTTCGAACTGAACCCTTTATTTCGATTACTGGGGTAGACTGTTCTAATTCCACGTGCCATGTTTGATGGATGTCAGTTATCAGTTATCTCCTGCTAATTTTCCCTCTGAAAGTTCTCCACTGCCTTAACCAGGAATTGAACTCACCTTCTTTGGGTCTGTCACTGGATCTAACCAACGCCTTTATCCACTGTGCCATGTGTCCTTGAGGACATCCATCAAACATGGCACGTGGAATTAGAACAGTCTACCCCAGTAATCGAAATAAAGGGTTCAGTTCGAAATTCCAACCACCTGAAGAAGGCCGGAGCGTACAACGGCCGAAACGTTGTGACAAATATGGCGACAAAGATGAGGACAATAGTCCGACTAATGTAAATACTGTACATAATACCTCATCTCAGAAATATAGACAAACATTGATAGATTAACATTCAAATCGGACCCTCTCACGTAACAAAAACAGAACTGATAGTTATAAACAAGGAAAGGGAAATTTGTTAAATCTTACATGTGGATGTGACAAACGGGACGAAAGATGAAGGCGAATAAAAACCGAACATTGGAAATTACTAAGACAGGAAATGAGAAAACTAAGAAATACGACAGTTAAATGTGTGCCAATGATAATTTGAGGTCTCGGAATGAAACAAGAATAACTATTTGAACAACTGGAAATTAGCGGGAAAATTGCCACTGGCCAAACGCTGTTATACTGAACTCTGCGAATATACTAAATTAGGTATTTCCAAAAACTTGGCACCATTCCTCTTGTGACAACCATCAAAGATCTAGTTTGAGCATGAAATAATAACTTGGAAGAGTATTTAAAATTTCTTAAGTATCCTGGATTATACATGGAGCCGAGGAAGTTTTGAAATACAAAATTAATTGTTGTGCCAATCGTTACCAGAGCGCTAGAAAACAGACCCGAAAACTATTGGAGAAACTAGAAATTAAATAAAACGATAGAGCCTTCGAGACGACCGCATTAGAGAAAATAGCTAGAATATGAAGAAAAAAAGGCCAGTGACTTACTATTAGTCTTTAGTTTCTACTAGTATATTGTTAAAGTCATCAGTTTATTGCGCTGTCGGCAGGGTCTAGAATAGAGCGACTGCATCACCTGAGAAGAGTAAGACATCCCAGTTTAGAAGCGCTCAAACATGCGAGTAACGATAAAATTTTAGCGAAAATGGAAACAGAATGGACGCTTATATTTAACAACAGAAAGAGACAGTTGAAATGTCTATGGTACATAATAAGAGGGTTTGGTAAATTTGATACGCACAGGACAGATTAAAGGCAAGAGGGTCAGAGGCAAACAACGCATAAACTACCTAGTTAGCTTGAGTAAATGGATGACAGAACTCGGTTCAAAAGAGAAAACAAAAGCAAAAAAATTATTAAGACAGGACAGAAAATTGTGGAGAGCCATGATCGCCAACATCCTGAACAGACAGGGTACATAGAAGAAGTAATTGATCATCGAGATGAACTTGCTGACGATTACACTACGAGTAAGTGCCGCCGATACATTTTATTTCATTTTTTTAATGAAAAATTCCCATCGGTATGCATATTCCGATCGGCACTAGTATTTTGTACCAAAGATTAAATGTTTTTTTTTTTTTGTAAGAAGTTGAAGATCCTGCTCTCTGTATTGTCTCATTACAACATCAGGTTCGCTTTAAAAAGTCGTATAGCCACTTACAATAACCAAATACATTAATCCTCAACCTTTAGTCGCTCTTGGATTTTAGCGTTAACCATTTGAGGCCTGCCTTCCTGAACAATTTTAACCCATCTACCTGATCTGAGTCAAAATCCGCAAATAATTGGTACGTAATGTTACACGGTAGATATAGAAGTAGTTACAAGTGTTTACCCACCGTTCAACCGGTGGCTGGAGATTAAATCATTTTTCTCTACCACTGTTCAACCAGTGATGGAGCATTACGTTATTTTCTCTACCACCGGAAATGCGGTGGTCAAGGCTCAAAGCCATTGAGAACTGTGAAAGCAAATAGGATCTAACCACGCGAAAGGGATTAGATAGAAAAAGGGATAGATTAGATATATATATAAAAAGAGAGAGAGAGAAAGGCGTCACATCACAAAAACAAAGTTTGAATAACGAAGAGAGAGAGAGAGAGAGAGATTAAATATTTAGGAGACTTCCTGACACATTGTCTAACGGAAACTAAAGTTTAGTAATGATATAAAAGTACAAGACGTGTTGACAACAGCAACAACCGTGATACAATTCTTATTCTTAATGTTCAAAAAAACATACCATTTGTTTATCTTCATCCACGTTGAGACGATATTTCATGGCCACAATTAATCTAAGATTAACTTCTTGTCTACGAGTTTTATCTATTTCGCTATGTCCTTTGTGTGGAAAACAAAGCGTCTAGATTCTGTAGTTAATGTTAAATACCCATATCTAGCTAATGGAGGAGTCAGCGGCCTGGGAGATAATATGCAAAGTTTTACTTTATTGGATTATACTGGTAGGATCTGGCTTAAGTCTTGGTTTGAATACAGTTGGCTTTGTGTCGATTATTTTGGTGTGGTAAGTAACATATAAAGTAATATTATATAACAGATGATTAAGCGTCATTATCAATAGCAGGTCATTTATAGTAAGGTTTCTATTATTTGATTTTTAATAATAACGATAATAATGATCAGACATAGGATAACAGTATCTGTCTATATCTCTGAGATGAGGTATTATGATTACTTACATTATTTACAATATACGGACTGTTGTCCTCATCTTCATTGCCATATTCCCAACGTTTCGGCCTCCATATCTCTGAGATGAGATATTATGATTACTTACATTATTTACATTATTCGGAATATTATACTCATCTTCATTACCATACTCACAACGTTTCGGCCGTTGTACGCTCCGGCCTTCTTCAGGTAAGTAGAATTTCCCACCGATACCTGTATTTCGTCCACCGGAGTAAATTGTTGTAGTTCCATGTGCCATGCCCCTTCAAGATGTCTCAGTTATTTCCCTTTAACTCAACTCTCTAAGTTTGGTTCACCACTGCTATGGCCTGATATTGAACTCACAAATCTTTGGGTCTAGTTACTGGATATAACTAACGTCTTTATCCACTGGTCCATGTGTACTCAAACAGTGGTGAACAAATAATGTCGCGATTTGTATATTTGTACCCCAGCGTTACTCTCATCCAATAATAGCAAAAATAGCAGCAACAACAACAGCAATAATAATAATAATAATAATGATAATAATAATAATAATAATAATAATAATAATAATAATAAATTGATCATCTTGCATAGTGTTACCACCCACTAAATATAAAACAGGGTATGATAGAGTGGGCCAATACCTTCATAGGAAATTATGCAAATTTTACAGGGACGAAACTGAAAGAAACTGGTATAAATATCACCGAGACTCGGTTCCAGAGATAGGGCCTGTAACAATTTTATGGGATTTTACAAGACACATGGACAAAACAATCAAAGCTAATAATCTCCCAAACATCGTGATCCAAGACCAAAAAAAAAAAAAACCCAAAAAACAGAATGTGCTTTCTTATTAACATGGCAGGCCCCGCAGATTGTAATGTATCTTTGAAGTTCTTCAAAAAAGTATAAAAATACAAAGATATTGAAGTGGAAATCTCAAAGGTGTGGCACATGAGGACATCAATAATTCCAGTTGTAGTTGGGGCCCTTGGGGTGATTGGAAAATATTCTTATAGATTCTTTGAAGGGATTCCTTGTAGACAATGCTTCTTTAAGAAATACAAAGAATTGTTCACACGGGTATAATTAGCAAATTACGAGTAAAGTGTGTGTGATCTTAGAGTATTTTTTTTTTTACAAAAATGATCAATGGAAAATGTCATGAAGTCATTTTTGACTTTAAGTCTCTGGTTGGGACCCGGAAGGAAATGTGTATACAACAGAATTGAAAGGGAATAATAATAATAATAATAATAATAATAATAATAATAATAATAATAATAATAATAAGGACCTAGGAATAGAAATCTAAAAAATGTGGCATATGGGAACATCAACAATCCCTGTTGTAGTTGGAGCCCTAGGACTGGTTGGAAAAGATTGCAGTAGACCAATTGAAGAGATTCCTGGAAGTCCATGCCTCAAGGAGATACAAAAAATTGTTCTGACAAGTAGAGCCCACATTTTACGAAGGGCTTTATCTATGTATTTATTTATTTTTTTTTTTTTTGTCAGTGGAGAGTGTCATGATGCCATTTCTAACCTTAGGTCCCTGGGCGGGACCCGGAAAGAAATGTGTACACACCAGAAATCAAAGAAAATAAAAATGATGATTATAATAAGAAGAATGATAATGATAATAATAATAATAATTTTGTGGCGTAATTTATAATTATAATCATCAGGCACCTGATGTGAACTTGCATTTAAAATAATAATAATAATCATAATAATAATATGCACTTCACTTTTCTCTTGAATTATTTTCTTCATTTTTTCAATTTACGTGTTTTCTTAACGCCAAAAGCGTTATCGTCATCAATGAAGCATGCTTCCTTATTTTCCATTCTTACTCTCCCTTCAGTAACGTCGTTACATTTAGAAACTATTTCTTTCTGCTTACAATTGACCTTTACTCTCATCGACCAACAGAGAAATGGCACTAGATACAAACACTAACGCAGAAATTTCTTGTTTTTATGCGTTTTTCCAATCAACGTTCGTTTTTTTTTAAAGAGTAATATTGTTTTAGGCAAGAAAATAGAAATGCATTCA